CCTGGCATGCCGGGCCAGGACTCGAACCTCAATCAACTACATGGGAGTCCAGCAACATAGCCATTACGCTAACTGGTGGTCCCTTTCCCTCACATCTTAATGTCTAATTAATGTGCCAGTTCTGGCAGTTCCACCTTTAGATACAGTGAAAGTCTGACCACTTCTCACCAGCTCCTCCTACACTTCTGGTACAAAGCCACCATCATTTCTCTCACCTGGATTAACGCAGTAGCCTCCTGGCTGCCATATTCTACCCTCTACCCTACACAGCACAGTGACCAGACAGATCCTGAGTCATTACTCAGATCATTTCACTGTGCTCAAACTCTCTAATGGCACCCACTCTGAGTAAAAGCCTCTAGGACTCTACAGCTTCTGCTCCTATCCCTTGGTCCTCCTTACCTCGATGCCTCCTCCCCTGGGGTTTGAACACTTTCTTACCTCTTTCTGCTCCCTGGGTTCCTTACTTTTCTGGAATACCAGGCACAATCCTGATGCAAGATGTTTGTGTTTTGTTTTCCCTCTGTCTCAAATGCTTCCCCCAGCCCCCCAGATACCACATGGTTTGTTCCCTCACCTCCTCCTCACCTCCTTTAGAGCTTAGCTTAAATGTCACCTACTTGGTAAAGCCTTTTCTTGGTCCTCAATTTAAAATTGCACAGTACTTCTCTCCATCTTCTGGCATTCCTTAATCCCTCTCTTAATTGTCCCTATAACAATTTTTCAAAAGTTTTTATTTATTTCTTCCATGTGAGACAGAGACAAAGAGAAGAGGAGAGGTACCCCAAGAGGGTCTTCATGCCACAGCCCACCCCCATTCTCAGCCAGCCCAGATCATGGACATGTGCACATGCCCTGTGTGTACAGGGATTCCCAGGACCTCTCCCCACGGGTCCAGCTGCAATACCACCTCCTGGCCCCATGTCTGTAATACATAATCACCGCCAAGCATAGTGTATGCATTGCTTATTTACTTGCTAACTGCCTCAGTTTCCTCATCTGTAAAATGGGGAAATGTTGACAATAGTACTTATACATCGGTGGTTTTTTTTTTTTTTTTGAGAGGGATTTTTTTTTGATTGTTTTGTTATAGGGCGTGTGCGCTTACCAGAAAGACAGAGAGAGACAGAGAGACAGCGAGAAATTGCCCCCAGGGGGGATGGCCACACCGCAGTTCCTTCTCCTCCATTCTCCTCTCAAGATCTTGGGCACGCACGCACATGTGCCCGGTGTGAGTTTAAGCCACCGGGTCCGGGACTTGAACAGCAGTAGACTACATGGGAGTTCAACGACATAGCCGTTATGCTAACTGGTGGTCCCTCATGGGTTGTTTTAAGGATGACATGAGTTACCATATGTAAAGTCTTTAGTACAACATCCAACACGTAAAGCATTATATCTGTGCTAACTGTTGTTACTATTATTAGTTCAAAGAATTATTTTATTTAACTTTATTTATTTATTAATTTTTAATTTGACCAGAGAGGGACAGGGTGAGAAAGAGAAAGTGAGAAAGCAATCACCAGGTCTGGGACTCGAACCCAGTCGGCCATGTGGGAGCCAGCACCCTTAACTACCACGCCACCTGCCAGCCCCACTACTTTTATTATTAAGCAAGTTGCTGGAAAGTATAATATAAGGTCACCCTCAAAAAACTTACTCTTCAGCATAGAAAAGTGGAAGGGTGACTACTTTCAGTTCTCAGTTGCTCAGTATCCACGATTTCAGCACTGATGAATGAGGCCCAGTTGATGAATGATGCCTGGTGCCTCTGGTCCGAAATACTTCCTAGCACTAATAGGACATTCTGACTGCAAATGTAAAGATGAAAGAGTTGGAGTTCAAAGATAGAGTTCCCACATTAATTGTAATCCAGTGTCAGGCATATCTCAGCTTTAAGGAACAAGTATAATGGCTCAGGAAGAATTTGAAAATACTGCCTGACTGCAATGGCTCTGAGTTATGGCCGCTCAGAGTCACATCGCTCTGGGCTGCAAATGATGATCATGAGGGCACAGGGCTGAGGGGACGTGCTGTGTTGACTTAACCCCACTTTACATGGTACTGCTTTAGCTGGGTGATCTGTCCCAGAGTCTCTCAGACCCACCAGCAGTAAATTACCTCCTCCATGCTCAAGTTTGCCAGAAACAAGTGATTTACTACTAGCAAGTGAGCACTCTGTTCCCAAAAAGGAGCATATTTTTCTCATAATGCTCCATTCATTTTTGAGTGCTCACTTATCATTAAAACTACTCGCATTCAAGGCCATGTCATAGACGTCCACACACACACACACACACTGTCGTCTGTAGTTCGCCCAGAATCAGATAAATGTTCTACTCTGAGCAATGTCCAGCTTATCCTTAGTTCACTAATTCTGCAAATAATTAAGCACCTGTATGTGCTAAGACACTTCCTGATCTTCATGGAGCTTATAGTTTAGAAGTCTAAGGGGGACCAGCAGGTAGCATAACGGTTAAGGCACTGGACTTCGACATGGTCGACTGCAATTCTAGTCTCAGATCTAGCAGCTTGAAAATCATGCTGGGCCTTTGTGTGTACATGCCCAAAATCCTAGGAGGAGAATGAGGAGAAGGGATTGCTGTGTGGCCATCCTCCTGAGGCTGATTGCTCACTTTCCCCCTCATAGTTTCTCTTTGGCGATTACATGTACCCTTTGGCAAAAACCTTAAAAAAAAAAAAAAGAGTCTAGATCAAGACTCTTATATTTTCCCCAAGTTGGGAGGCATTTCCTCATAGAGTATGCCTTAAAAGCACTGAATAAAGGGCCAGTAGGTGGCACGGTGGTGAAAGTGCTGGACTCCCACATGGCCAACTGCGGTTTGTGTCCCAGACACTATGGCTTGAAAATCACACCAGGCATATGTTGTATGTATGCCCAAAATCCCAAGAAGAGAATGAAGAAGGGCTTGTTCACGGCCACTCCCCCTGGGGTCTCTGATGAGTGCATATGTCCTTGGTACAAAAACAACAACCACAACGAAAACCTGGATAATATAATTCTAATGAACTATATTGTAGAATGTCACTCTGAAACAGCAGTGGAGTTAGCTGCTTCCAGGTAAACAATCTAGCTTTCTATTAAGTCACTAACATTACGGTGCCCGTGCAAACCAGCTTTTTCTCCTGGTATCAAATAAAATTTCCCAGGTTAATGACCTAACTCTCACTATTGAACATATGCTGCATTCCTCACCATGTTTGTAGCTCTGAGGTTATTTATCTCAGTTCAGAGAATTGAATGAGGACTGTTAAAATGAGGGGGAGAGGACTAGCAGATGGCATGGTGGTTAAGGCACTGACACTCCCAGGTGGCTGATCATGGTTCGAGTCCTGGACCTGGTGGCTTGCTTTCTCGCCTTCTTTCTCTTTCCCCCTCTCTCTCTGGTCAAATTAAAATAAGTGAATGAATAAATAAAAATAAATAATTATTGTAAAAAGAGGGGGAAAATACTTTCTTTCCATATATGTATTCAACTTTGGCAACTAGGGATGAATTTAGTAGCTCCAAATACTTTAATTTCTGTTAAGATGCAACTTTTGCTGGCATGCTAATTACATTTCTACACAGTATTAAAATAATAACCCTTTGGAATGTACAGAATGAATTCCTATGATTAAATAATTAGTTATACTTAAATGAGTCTGATATATTAAAGAGTCTGCTCTCTAAAAATTTTGGACATTAATGTACATTTTTAAAATGCTTTAGGGGTACCAGCAGATGGTGTAACAGTTATATTGCTGGACTCTCACATGGTCCACTGCAATTTGAGTCCCAGATCTGGTGACTTGAAAAAACGAAGCCAGGTGCTTGTGCGTGCATGCCCAAGATCCCAGGAGGAGAAAGGAGAAGGGATTGTGGCATGGCCATCCCCCCAGGGGGTGATTTCTCACTTTCTCTTTCACTGTCTTTCTGCCAGAGTGCACATGCCCTAAGGCAAAAGCCTCTGGGGGGGGGAATAAAGTGCTTTAGGAATTAAAGTATGCGTGCATTGCTTTACATTTAAGCAGATGAGGATATGTTTATAGCCTTCTGGAGAGAATTAGAGATGCCAGCTTCTTCAAAAATAGAAATTTGGAAATCCTTTGTGGGGGGTATGTAGGAAAGAAAAGTAAGGAGGAAAAGGGAGCAGGCAACAGATTCAGACAGGAATATCTTCTGTCTTGAATAATATTTTAGGTGACAGAGCAGGCTAATGATTATTAGCTTAGTGATATTTAATCTTCAAGCAGCATTTAATACCTATAAAGCAAATTTCATTAGTCCTTAGAAAGGAGGGGGCGGGACCAGCAGTTGGCGTAATAGTTATGTCACTGGACTCCCATGTAGTTGACTGTAGTTCGAGTCCCGGACCCGGTGGCTTAAACTCTTTCCGGGCGCATGTGTGTGCATGCCCAAGATCCTGAGAGGAGAATGGAGGAGAAGGAATTTCTTGTTTTTTGTCTCTCTCTTTCTCTCTGTCTTTCTGGTGAGCACATGCACCCTATAGCAAAACCTCTCAAAAAAAAAAATAAAAAAGAGTGAGCAAGATAAAAATATCTTTTAAAGAAACAGCTAGGCTGGCCCTGTAGCCTAGTGGTAGCCCACATGGCTGACTGTGTTCCAGTCCCAGCCCTAGATGCTTGCGAAATGTGCTCGGCATGTGTGTACATGTGCCCAAAACCCCAAAAGGAGGGAGAAGTGGAGCAGAGGGGATTACAGCATGGCCATGCCTCATCACTGGGTGGGGGTGGGGTTATTTCTTGCTTTTCCTCTCTCTGTTTCCCTCCAGTGAGTGCATGTGCCCTCTGGTAAAATTAAAAAAAAAAAAAGGATATTAAATATTTTGATCATTTGCTTTGTGAAAAGAAAAATTATCAGCCTGGTTTCCTAGTTCTAGCTGAACTCACAGACTTATGTATATTTTTAAATGATGTTGATAATTTAAAATCTCAAATCACTTCTCCTCTTTCTCAATCACTTTTCTTTGGGACAGGACCTGTTTACACTGGGCATGTAAACGCAACCATGGCCAGGTGGTCTCTTACCTGTTAAAATCGGGAGCGGACAAGGAGATTCTTACTACAAAAGGAGAAATGCCAGTCCAATTAACATCAAGGAGAGAAATCAGGAAGATTATGGGAGGTGAGTCTGTGTTTGGAGACTTTTTTTTTTTTTTTTAGTTTTTGCTGTAGGGCATGTGTACTCATTGGAGAGGGATGGAGAAAAGGAATGTGAAAAGTCACCCCCCAGGGGAAATGGTCACACAGCAACTCCTTCTCCTCTATTCTCCTCTTGGGATTTGGAGCACTCATGCACGTGTGCGTGATTCTCAAGCTACCAGGTCCAGGACTCAAATCACGGTTGGCCATGTGGGAATCCTGCACCTTAACCACCGTGCTACTCGCTAGCCTCTTGTGATAATTTTTAAACGACTATGTACATATTCTATGTTTTCTTCTTTTTAAGTGGAAGATGATGATGAGGAAGAGGACAACATCCCACAGCCGAAGAAGGAGTCCGAACTGCCCTTTGTTCCCAATTATTTGGCCAACCCAGCCTTTCCTTTCATCTACACACCTGTAGCAGAGGATTCAGCCCAGCTACAGAATGGGGGGCCCTCCACACCTCCTGCATCACCCCCTGCAGATGGTTCACCTCCATTGCTTTCTCCTGGGGAACCTGCCCTGCGAGGGGCCTTTGCTCGGGACCACACATCTTTGGCACTGGTTCAGAACGGTGATGTGGGTGCCCCCTCTGCCATACTCAGAACACCAGAAAGCACAAAACCGGGACCTGTTTGTCAGCCCCCGGTGAGTCAGAGCCGCTCCCTGTTCTCTTCTGTCCCATCCAAGCCACCAGTGGTGTCGCTGGAGCCTCAAAATGGGACGTATGCCGGACCAGCGCCAGCATTCCAGCCATTTTTCTTCACTGGAGCATTTCCATTTAATATGCAAGGTAACCCCTTGTTAGCAAAGTTTCTGCAACACGGGAGTCAATGTCCAGGAGGGTGGGATTTATTTACTTCAATATATTTTAAGCATAAGTATGAACTAATAAAAAAGTTGTAGTTTACTCAGATTTACAAACTAATTACCTTTTGCTCTCGTACCCTGAAATACTTCAAGAATTGTTCCGATTGTACCTTTCCTAAGAACAAGGATATTCTCTTATAAAACTACATTTAGTGATCAAATTTAAGAACTAAAGCCTTGGGAACAGCAGTTAGAGTAATGGCTATGTCGCTGGACTCCCATGTAGTTGACTGCGGTTCAAGTCCTGGACCCAGTGGCTTAAACTCACGCCAGGCACGTGTGCATGCGTGCCCAAGATCCCGAGAGGAGAATGGAAGAGAAGGGACTGCGGCGTGACCATCCCCCCTGGGGGGGCGATTTCTCGCTTTCTGTCTCTCTGTCTCTCTCTGTCTGTCTGGCAAGTGCATGCACCCTATAGCAAAAACCTCTCCAAGAAAAAGAACTAAAGCTTTGATGTAATACTGTTCTATAAGCTACAGTCCATGTTTAAAGTTTGCTTATTGTGTCAGCAATGCCCTTTGTAACTATCCTCACTTTTACTTCCTGTCCAGGATCACACGATTGCATTTAGTTATCATGTCATTTTAGTATCCTTTAACATGGGACATTTTTTCATCCTTGCTCTATCACTTTCACCTCAATATATATTTTTTAATTGCTAGAGGGTATGTGCACTTGCCAGTGAAACAGGGCATGGTCTCTTCTCCATTTCTTCCTCCTGTTACATTTTGGGCATGCATGCACATGCCCCTGGTGTTTTCAAACTATCAGGGCTGAGATTCAAACCATACAGTCAACCATGTGGGATCCAGCTCCCTTAACCACTAGGCCATGGAGGCAGACCAGATTTGAATTAATTTTTTTTTTTCTAGAGGCTGCATGCACTCACCAGAGAGAAAGAGAGACAGAGAAAAAGTGAGAAGCACCTCCCTGGCAGAATGGTTATGCTGCAGCCACTTCTCTCTTCCTCCATTCTTTCAGGCTTTTGAGCATGCATGCGTGCACATGTGCTCAGCATTTTTTAAAGAACTTTCTTTGTTTTTATTATTAACTTTATTCATTTATTTACTTATTTTAATTTGACAGGAGAGGGACAGAGCGAGAGTGAGAACGAGAGAGAGTGAGAAAGCAAGCTGCCAGATCTGGGACTTAAACCATGGTCAGCTATGTGGGAGTCCAGCACCCCCAACCACCACACCACATGCCAGCCCCCACCCAACATGTTTTTTAAGCCATTGGGTCCAGGACACAAACCACATGGTTGGCCATGTGGGATCCAGTCGCCTTAACTGTCACACCGTGGGCTGATCCCAGATTGGAATGTTTATTGGTCGCTTATCTCTCTGCTCTTTATGGCAACAAGTTTCCTCTTTTATCAGCATCTTTTTTTCAGGGTTTTTGCCATATGGTGCTCACCAGAGACAAACAGACGGTGAGAGGGAAAGTGAGACATCACCCCCTGGGGTGATGACCACACCACAATCCAGTCTTCTCTAGGGATTTTGGGCATGCACACACATGCACCTGGCATGACTGGGTCCACGACTCGAACTGGAGTTGGCCATGTGGGAGTCTACCACCTTAACCACCACACCATATGCTGGCCCCTCATAAGCACCTTTAGATGCATAATGGCTAAATCTTTTTAGAGTAACTCATGTGCCACATCTTATTCATGCCTTTATTCCAGCCTTCTTCTCCTTCTTCTGCTTGTGGGTAGTTTGATATCCAATCCCATTCTTAAGTCTTTACCCCTTACTTAGCTCTAGTGGCAGAAGTAAATTACCCTTCTGCACAGCTGGGACGTGGCCCTCACCTCCCTCTTACTTGTGGATCATAGACTGAGATGTAAGAAAGACAATGGAGGAAACCACCCCAGCAGAGCTAGAATTGGGCCTTTAGCAACCTCTGCGGACCATGGTTGGTTTTCTAACTGGGTGGCACAAATATTTTGGGATAAGAAATTATTTAGTATAATTATCTTCTGGGAGACCAGCAGTTGGCGTAATGGCTATGTTGAACTCCCACGTAGTTGACCGCAGTTCAAGTCCTGCGGTGGCTTAAACTCACGCCGGGCATGTGTGCGTGTGTGCCCAGGATCATGAGAGGAGAATGGAGAAGGGATTGCGGCATAGCCATCCCCCCTGGGGGGTGATTTCTTGCTTTCTGTCTCTCTGTCTTTCTAGTGAGTGCACACACCCTATAGCAAAAAATAACCTTTCCAAAATAATAGCTATTATTATTATCTTCTGGAAAAGACCTGAAATGAACATTTCTTCTCCTTTTCTCTAGAACTGGTACTGAAGGTGAGGATTCAGAACCCATCTCTCCGAGAAAACGATTTCATTGAAATTGAGCTGGACCGACAGGAGCTAACCTACCAGGAATTGCTCAGAGTCAGTTGCTGTGAGCTGGGCGTTAATCCAGATCAAGTGGAGAAGATAAGAAAGTTACCCAATACTCTGTTAAGAAAGGTAAGAAGAGTCTGTTAGAACAGCATGAGAGGTTGCTATTTGCATTTGGAAAAATTCCTAGCTTCCTCCTCAATTATATGAGTCATAGTTGAAGAAATGAAAAGGGAATCGAAAAGGAGCAAAAAGTGGTTTTCCACATTGCTTCCTTTCCCTCTACTGAGTCTCCCGACACTTGCATTTTTGAAAGTTGTAGGATATCAAAGAGAATGTTCTGAATTACCATTCACACATACCTATTTTTGGTTGTTTCTGTGGTGATCTGTAAGGATTACCTTAGCACGCTATTACATGTGCCTTGTGTCTTACAAGATAAGAACCAAATTAAACTACAGAGCAAACTCGTTTAGATACACATGTGGTTCTCCCAGTATCTCTGGGCTCTTGACTGTCAGGCTTGTAGCTCCTCGGGGCACCCAAGGAAGAGTGATCTATGCACTGCCTCTCCCTTTGGGTGGGTGCTTGTCCCTTCACAGCAGATGTTAAGGGCTTCACCGTTACAACCCAGCTCATGCCCCTGGGGATGTAACTGCACTGTCACTGACTTAGACTGCCACGGGGTTTTTGGTTTTGGGGTTGTTTTTTTGTTTTTTATTTTTTTTTACTTCTAGATTTTGAATTGAACCAAGATCTTGTGTCCATACAGCACACCAAACATAGAGATAAGTAACTTCCTCTTAATCTGTTTAACCAATTTTTTTTGTCCTTTCAGGACAAAGATGTTGCTCGACTCCAAGATTTCCAAGAGCTAGAGCTGGTTCTAATGATAAGTGAAAACAATTTTCTCTTCAGAAATGCTGCGTCCACACTGACTGAAAGGCCTTGCTATAACAGGAGAGCTTCCAAACTGACTTACTAATGCAGCAGGGACTTTTATCATGGAGTGCTGTGAAGTGCTGTCACCTCTGGGCCAAGGACAAGCCATTGATCTGAATGCCTTGGATGCCCGGAGGGCTACTGGTGCCCGGTGGAGCAGATACTCACATCGTTCTGCCAAGGTAGGGAGCTCCTGACCCCCAAGCAGCGGTGCCACTCTTCCAAGCCTCTTGGTGCACAATAAACCTATTGCTTGAAGCTCTGAACAGCTGAGAAGTGGTCTGGAGAGGCAGAAGCGGAAGCCCTGTACCTAGTGTGCTGTCTGTGCAGTGTCTGAGAGTTGTCTGAGCAGACGCCAAGAGGGAGCAGAGCCTATTCGTAGCCACTCCTGGTGACCGAGCACCTGCAAGGCCAGGATGCACTTTTCTTGGTGTCGCATGCCCACAACTCTCCTGAAATGTGAACCGCCCAGAGGGAGATTGGAGAAAGTCCAGGTACTGGACAAATGACTTTAGTGTGACTTGTCGCTGTGAGGTTTCCTATAACATATTTATAAATGTTACTCAGGTTTAAAGTATTTAAGAATACAGTTACCTAATTGTAAATACGCTGTTAACCAAAAGAGCTTCCCCTCCCCCATGTTTTCCTTTGAGAAAAGTCATGACTGCTTGTCTGTCTCTAGACAGTGATCTCTGCATTAACTTCCCCTCATGGTCACTAGAGGGCTCTCTGATGCTTTCTGAAGGAGCAACTGCTTTTACTCCGAAGCGATTCCTGTCATCTCTCTGTTTAATTGCACTGAGAAGAGCACAAACATCACCGGCCCATGCTCTCCACTTTCATTCTCCAGTAGAAATGAAAAGCAATTTTTGAGACTGATCTGTTGCTATTTTAAAGGTTATTGTGGGAAACTGAGCTAAAGGAGTTAGTATCTTTATTTTTGTATCAAAGATAAAGGTTATTTTGCAATTATTAGGATTTCTACACAACTCTGATCTCTGTTGCTTTTGTAAACAAATTCTTTGATTTTAGGAATCCCTCTACTCCCTTCACCAATCCACTTAACACAATCAATTGGGAGTTTACCAGACTTTGTTCTGAAAAACAAAACCAAAATCGCCTGATTAAACTCTGGAGCATGGCATAAGAATATTTTTAAAGAATGCCTTCAAGGATTCTTTTCCTACCCCACAGCTTCATTCGTGTTAAAAAGAAAAGCCCCGGTAGAAATAAGGACTAGCACACGTAGACACACAGGGGTGGGTGGCAGCCAGCTGTCGAAGAGCATCCCTGCTGTCTTAAGCTTTTTCCCCATAGTGCCTAGAGTTTCCAAAGAAACGTAACTTCCTAACTGTGTTAACTTCATTCTGTCGGAACACGACAATTGCGTGAACATGCCAGAAGATGTCAACGGGAGAGAATGTTGTGCTAAGATAAAGGCCTCCTGCTGCTTCCGAGATGCCGAAGTGTGGCGGAGATGTCTTCTAAGGTCAACTTCACAGAGTCACTCTGTTTTGTGACTTTAATGTACTCTGCCAATTACTGCTGGTGACTTACCCTTGTGCAATGTTTGCAGAGTAAAGGTGCTTTAGAGAGGAAACTTGAAAGTGCTTTAGAGAGGAAACTTCCTTATATTTCAACGAATCAGAAACTAGGATATCTAGATGTAGTAACCTTTTTTTTTTTCCCTTCACTTTGAAAAGAGTTGCAGTCTGATACAATTAAGTCTGGTTCTGTTCTGGAGGAAACAAATTCAGTATTAATTCATGTCTAAATTACTAGAGTTAAAACTCTTTCAGCTCCCCAGAATTAATTAGGGACCTGCAGAAGCAGTGGAGGCCCCTGACCGGGATGTGGCCAAAAGGAGAGTATTAGTTCCAGGGCATTTCCCAGGCTTGGACACATCGGCGAGGGAAGGCCTTGGTGTCTCAGGGGAGAGATGGGTCCAATGTGGCTCTGTCCTACACTGGTCTCCCTTCTGTGGTCAGCTGACTCCTGTGTATGGCAGTGGGACGACACTGCACAGTTGCTGGTAGGTGAGGTAGTCTTAATCTATGCATTCAGAGAAATATTTTTATATGCTTTGTGTAATTTATAACAAGGATTTTTTTTAGCTTTGTTACCTGTGAATTCACCCCTTCCTCCACTGCATATTTAAAGCATGTGTTCACACTGTGTGTAAACATTCACCGAAGATTGTTTCCTTGTGCATTGCTGACTGTTCAAACATAACGAGTATCATTAAACTTAAGTATTAACTGACTGAGCCTATAGTTTAATTTTACCCTTCTAAACAGCACTACTCTCCTCGTCAGAGGGGGTTCACATTGTCAGCTAGCCCCAGGGACAAGACGCTCTGCAGGAAGACTAGAAGGCCCGCTCCCCACCTGAGCCTCCTCCACCTCGCCGCTGCTGTAGCGCTTATGCCCCGCCTGTGGCACTTGGAGACAGATATCTTGTGTGGCGTCTCTCCTCCTAACACACAGCAGTCAGCTTCATTTTCCTGGAGTAGCCGAGCCAGCTAGATGGAGGTCATCCCCTATTAACCACATGTTTTGATTATGCTATTTACTTCACACAACTCAGCTCTCCTTTGGGCTGTCAGCACCTGTCAGAGCCTCAGTGAGCTCAGAAGTAAACGCCCAAGACTAGAGAGGAAATAAAGCCTCACAGCTTCAGATCTTTACGGAGAATGATGCCGAATGAATCTGCTTTTCTGTTGGTTTAGGCCAGCAAGAGCCTCACGGAGCAGACGTCATGCCAAATTGGCCTAATAAATCAGAGAGCATAGCAGAGACCTTTTCTTAGCACCAAGGAGAGGCAGCATAATTTGGGCATTTGTGCTTTCATACTTGCTTTATCACAAGGATGGAAGTCGCCTTCCATATACTCATAAACATCCTAGGCAGAAACAGCCTGCCCAAAAATGCGATTAACCTTTAACAAATGCTCCCACAGCACCGGCCGGCCCAGAACACAGAGACAACCCAGATCAAAGGAGCCATCTCCGTATCTACTGCAAACCATTTGGGGCGGGGAGGAAAAAAACCAACCATCACCCACCACCACCATCAGTTCACACCAAGGATAAAGATACCGGAAATGAGAGCTAGACAGAGGAGACCAGAAAACTGAGGAAGGTAGCCGAGAAGAAATCCATTCCCAATGTAAGGCCTGTGCCAGGTGGACTCTGACCTGCAGAAAATACACTCTTCATTGGCTTGCTCCAGAAAGCAAATTTAATTCGTCACCTCATATCTCACTGACTGGCCTTGGAGTGCAGGGGGGGCTGGGGGCTGTGGCTTCTCTGTGCTCACACGTTCCGGTTCAGCCGGACTGAGGAAAAGGAATGACTCGGAGGCCCCACTGG